ATGCCAACATAATATATAACTACACCAACATTGAGATAAGCAGGTATATTAAAATTCAAATTGTGTAACAGTCAGTTCATACTCAGCACCTGATATATGCGTTTGTGCATGAAACTCTGAGTTCGCTAGCGATCAGGGATATATATATATATATATATATATATATATATATATATATGACAATTTAGCTCTTGAATATATATTTCAATTGAGCACTGTTAAAAGATAGGCTAATAAACAACAGCCACCTGCATTAATGCAAAGCTCTTAAGTAAAATGGATTGGAGCACTCTGGCTGACTGGCATTTGTTTACATACGTAGAAAACAATACGCGTGATTTAGCTCTTTTCTCTCTGTCTGGAATATACTTCCATAGCCTTTTCCCTGTTTGATATGACGGCAATGCAGCGGAAATTTAATATCAAGGTATTTTTTTGTGTGATTGATTGCTTTCCTCGGCTGTTGAGCTACATCTATTCGATGCAGCTGCTTATGTGGTGTCAGTTGTCCGACTTCACCGTTTGTTCCTTCATTGGAACTGGAATTAGTTGTCAGATGCTATTTGAGATTCACATTGCAGAATCAGTTTATCGAAAGTGGGAGCTTGTTCCTATATCTCCCCCCTCCGGCTATGACAACCTTTGGAACATACATAATGTAATTCTATAAACATTATATACATTACGTGTTTCAAAGGCTCTTAAAACGTTAACTTTTTGAAAAAGTATGTAAATAACAACAGTTTAAAGCAAGATAAATTGCGAAATAGCCGTATATAAATAAATCAGTAGACATTGAAAAGATTCTTAATTTTGGAAAAAATAAAAATATAAATCAGGATTTAAGCTTAAAGTTTTCGATGCTATTATTTATGACATGCAATAAAGTAATTTGTTTATATTACTGAGATGAGGTATTATGTACACTATTTACAGTATTCGGACATCATTTTTATCGCCATATTTATTACAACGTTTCGGCCTTTCAGTATCTGTCTATATTTCTGAGATGAGGTATTATGTACACTATTTACATTATTCGGACTATTGTGCTCATCTTTATCGCCATATTTATTACAATGTTTCGGCCTTTCAGTAACTGTCTATATTTCTGAGATAAGGTATTATGTACACTATTTACATTATTCGGACTATTGTCCTCATCTTTATCGCCATCTTTATTACAAAATTTCGGCCTTTCAGTATCTGTATTTCTGAGATGAGTTATTATGTGCACTATTTACATTATTCGGACTATTGTCCTCATCTTTGTTGCCATATTTATTACAACGTTTCAGCCTTTCAATATCTGTCTATATTACTGAGATGAGGTATTATGTACACTATTTACATTATTCGGACTATTGTCCTCATCTTTATCGCTATATTTATTACAACATTTCGGCTTTTCAGTATCTGCCTATATTTCTGAGATGAGGTATTATGTACACTATTTACATTATTCAGACTATTGTACTCATAATAGATATGCCAACAAAGATGAGGACAATAGTCCGAATAATGTAAATAGTACATAATAATTTCATCTCAGAAATATAGACAGATACTGAAAGGTCGAAACGTTGTAATAAATATGGCAACAAAGATGAGGACAATAGTCCGAATAATGTAAATAGTGTATAAAGTAATTTATACTGCCTTTTTGACAGTATTAACACCTGAACTATGAACTGATAAAAGACCTTTAAATACTAACGAATATCGTTCCTTGAGGAACGTTATGAGGATAATGGGGAGAAAAATGTAAAGTTAAGTTTTGAATTTGCGAACACTCTACAATATTCTAAAGAAAGTTAAATTATTTAACGGCGATAACTGATCTAATTTATTGCCTAATAAATAAAAGTGATTAAATGTTGCTGTTATTATGCCTTTAAATTTCTTAGGAAACATAAGGCAGCAAGATAACGTTGTGATCTCTATAACAAGCCAAGGTGAGTAGATTGTTAGCCTACTGCACAACCTCCAAAGATGGAGGATCAGGTTTTGAATTCTTGTAGACCAATTGGCTATAGAACCTAGTCTGTTCTGTTATTTACCCATAGGAGAAGAAGAGGTTTCATACCTTTTCCAAGGTTATTAGCAAGTAAGTGAATGTAATGGATTTGACTGGAATTCGAACTCAGCTCTCCGATTCCTCAATCCGAGTTGCTATCCATTACTCCAACGTGCCTCCACAAATGTTCTTGTTGTATGCTTAATTTATTGGAATCAATAATGTGATTATTATTTATTTCTATGTATTTTATTTTATTTTATGTTTAATTACATTTTTAAAAATATTTAAGTCTTTTATTAATGCCTTAAAAGTTTCTTTCTAATTTCGAAAAAGCATTATGGCCATGCATATTTGCGCATGATTCGATAAATGTACTTTAAGTTTTAGTTTAAGTTATTAATTTTCTCTTTTAAGAAGTACAGCTTTTTACCAAAGATGGAGATGAAGTTCAACAAAACATACATTTTATTTATATGTATTATTACACACACAACCCCATATATATATATATATATATATATATATATATATATATATATATATATATATATATATATTCCTTATTAACTGTTCTCTTGATAGATTTTGAATGAACCTTGAAGAAGGAAACAAGAGTATGAATGCTGGTAGAATTATTGAAGGCCTGAATGATCTTTTTCCTCTCACCATTGATCAGTTGGGAAGACAGTGGATCTGATACAAAATGATTTTAACCTGTTCGCTTTCCAGATGAATATCTCAAAGGGTTTCCAGTGATTCTTAAGACATATGCTATCAAGATAGCTAATGTCTTATCTGAAAACCGTGACAAAAGTATCTCAATTAGTTTAGTGTTTTTGGGTTGTTTTTTATGTAATAACATGATTTGGACAATTTTGCTGTTACACCCGGTATATATATATATACAAACACACACACACACACACACACACACACACATATATATATATATATATATATATATATATATATATATATATATATATATATATAAAAAAATAAAAATATCAGTAAAAATAAAAAATATCAATAAAAATATCAAAAGAACACTGAATTATATATCTTACTGTTCATTCTTTATATATATATATATATATATATATATATATATATATATATATATATATATATATATATATATATATATATATATATATATATACATATATATATATATATATATATATATATACACATACATATATATATATATATATATATATATATATATATATATATATAATACGTTTGTATATTTATACATTCTTTTTTACAGATACAAAAATATTTCGAAAACGCTCTATTTTATAATAAACAGTATTAAACAACATTTACCGGCCTGAATGTCCGAGAAATTTTCATAGAAAATATTCGTCCTCCGACAGTTTAAAGGCAGTAAATTCTTTTTAACCGAACGCTCCTCGGTGGCCAAAACGGTTAATGCACGTCAGGCTATATGACGGTTCCGTATAGGATACAGGTTCGATTCCTGTCGGAGAACGAATATTTCCTATGAAAATTTCTCGGACATTCAGGCCGGTAAATGTTGTTTAATGCTGAATAAAACAGAGCATTGCTGAAATATTTGTATTTATAAAAGAATGTATAAACATAAAAATGTATTGAAATAATTGTTGGACTTTGTCCATTTCAGAATATATATAATTATTTTTGTTGTTACCCGGTGTATGTATATGCGTGTGTGTGTGTGTGTGTGTGTGTGTGTGTATATATATATATATATATATATATATATATATATATATATATATATATATATATATATATATATATACAAAGCAATATTAATGCTATTATTGGCGACATCCATCGCTAGTAGAATGTATGCATTAAAATACTGTTAATCCATAGAGTGATGTGATCCTCGTCTATAAAACTGTTGTTTCCAGTTTATATTTTTTAAAATGCAAGTACTTTCGAATCACGTCACTGGATTAACAGTATATTAATTCATACATGAAACACTACTAGCGATGGATGTCGCCAATAGTAGCATTAATATTGCTGACTGATTCTATGCGTGATTATTTCTTTGTATATAAATTATATGCTGCCTAATGCCTAATATATATATATATATATATATATATATATATATATATAGATGCAGTATTAACACATATTTTGTATTGCTCACTGAACAATTTGAGAGTCTGTTGTATTGTTTCTAAATTTCCCTGCTAGATTCTTTTTCTAAGGTGTTTTCCTGTTTGTTTATTTTTTAAATTGATTTTCCCTGAAATCGAATGTTTCTTAGTTTTATTGGAATGTTTTAACGAGGAGAAATGTTTAAAATTGCCCTAAGATTCATTAACTTGCTATAAAGAATAATTACTGTAATCAAAGAGACAATCATTTGAAATTAATTAAATGTAAGCAAGTAAAACAAACCCTGCTTTGTAAAATGCATAAGAACGAAGCGGAGATTACGGGCCGAGAGTTTTAACAAGAACTGACCGTCCTCATAATGGCACAAATGGAAATAAAGCAAAACCTGGCAGTTTTATACGACAGGATTGTAAATGAAAAGAAAATATATAGAAAGAAGAAGGCTCTAAATAAAACAACACACAAAAGAGAAGGAAAAAATCAAATGCAATTGTTTTTACAAAGAAAGATTAAATGTATTGATAAACGAAGAAAGGGCGACTAGAATAAAGTTTTAAAAACAAAATGAGAGTCGGAGAAAGCAGTCAGACATAATAAAAGCAAGAAATTGGAAAGCGATGGACGGAAGGTAATTGATGGCAAAAATAAAGAAAAAAGAGATGAACAGAAAAAGTAAGAAAAGAATAAAATAAAGAATTAAAGAATGAATCAATAACTGATTTAAGGAAAATGAATGTTAATGAGAAGGAATGAAAGAAACTGATGGAAAAATGTAAGAAAATTAAGAAAATATACGAAAATAAACGAATGGATGAAAGAAATAAAGACAATAATAAACAAATGGCAAAACTAAAGAAAGAAAGAAAGAAAGAAAGAAAGAAAGAAAGAAAGAAAGAAAAAAGAAAGAAAGAAGATAAGACAGAAACGGAGAAAGGAAGAAAGATAGAAAAGTAAAAACAAAGCAGAAAGAAAGAAAGAAAGAACAAATCACGCAATTGAAAAAAAGAAAGAAAGAAAGAAAGAAAGAAAGAAAGAAAGAACAAATAACGCAATTGAAAAAGAAGAAAAGACTGGAAAAGAAAGAAAGAAAGAAATAAAGAAAGAAAGAAATAAAGAAAGAAAGAAAGAACAAATAACGCAATTGAAAAAGAAGAAAAGACTGGAAAAGAAAGAAAGAAAGAAAGAAAGAAAGAAAGAAAGAAAAAACAAATAACGAAATTGAAAAAGAAGAAAAGAGTGGAAAAGAAAAAATGGAAGAAAGAAAAAAAGAAAGGAAAAGGAATGAAAAAAAACAAAGAAATATTGCTTGATTTTAGAGTCCCCAATCTGTAAATCGCCTTTTCTTCATCTTTGAGGAGACCGTCCAACATAGCAGATCAGTACTCTTTTTTGTGTTACCAAATAAATCCTCCTGTCTTGTAATACTCTGCCTAGCTTTTGGAATGCGTCTTTGGTCATCCCAATACGTCTTCAGATCTCAGCGTTACACTTACCGCCCTCTATCAAAACCCTTCCCAGATATTTAAATTTCCATACCGGCTTGATTTTAGAGTCCCCGACCTGCCAATTGCATTTCGGGTTCATCCTTTTACTGATGACGATGCATTCTGTCTTCTTGTAGTTTATATTTAGTCCCTTTTCTCGTTTTCCTTCAATAACTTCTGTAGGAGGTTTTTGTAATTTCTTTTCCGTTTCTGCTATCAATACTGTATCATCTGCTTATCTTATGTTGTGAAGACTATGGCCGCCAATGCTAAATCCCGGTAGGATTTTTATTTGAAATATGACATAACTGAAATCAAATACAAACGAATTTTAAAAAGAAATGACTAATTGGAAGAAAAATATTGAATAGAACAGAACGAAATCAAAAAAAAAAAAAAAAAAATGCCAAAATCGCTAAAAAAATAAAATAGGCTATTTGTAAAATAGAACAAGATGGAGTGAAATTAAAAAAAAAAATACAAAACCAAATGGAAGAAAAACTTGAAGAAAGGCAGACGAGAATAGTCGCAACACCCAGAACGATAATAAAGAATGTTTTAAAATAAATTGATTCATTTTTTACGGATTATCAACCCATTGGATGTTATTCAAAGCGATAGAATATTTTATGATTTTTTCGAGATAATGATAGTCTTACTAATTAACCCATAGCAAGGAGAAGAAGAGGTTGATTCATGCCTTTCCCAAGGGTATTTACAGGCAAATGAATATAACGAACCCAGCTAGAATTGGAAATCGGTTCTCCGATTAACAATTCCGAGCCATTATCCGTTGCACCGTCCGAACATCCAACCTTACAGCTCCTGGTATTCCGAAGCGGTCACCCATTCTACGTTCCACGTTGCTTAACTTCGACACTAACGTACGGGAAGAAAGACGACATATTACGAAGGAGATAAAGAAAGAATGGAAAAGGAAAAGAAAAGGAAGAAGTCAAGGCTTGGAAGGAATATGCAAAAAAAAAAAAAAGAAAGAAAGAAAGAAAGAAAGAAAGAAAGAAAGAGGAGAATTAAAGTAAGTTTGAAATCAATAAACAATGAGAACAAGAATATAAGAAAAATTAAAAGAACTGATAAAGAAAGAAAGAAAAACCTGATATTCTGAAGCGGTCACCCATCTAGGTACTGACCAGGCGCGACATTGCTTAACTTCGATGTCCGTAAGAAAGAAGATAAATTACGAAGGAAATAAAGAAAAAATGAAAGAAGAAAAGGAAGAAATTAGGGCTTTCAACGAATATACAAAAAGAAAGAAAGAAAGAAAAATCGTACAAGAAGAAAGATAGAACCGTATAAAAAGTAAGAAAAGAAAGAAAGAAGGAAGAGCAGAATTAAGGTAAGGACGAAGACAGCAAACACCGAGAATAAGAGGGAAAAGAAGAAGAAAATTAAAAGTGATAAAGAAAGAAAGAAAAAACTGAAGACGAAAGGAAGAAAACGGCAAACCAGAAGATAAGAAAATGAATTAAAGTACTCAAACCCGGGAACTAATATACAATACACTCCCTCCCAACCGCCTCCTAAAATGACTTGTTGGAAGTGAAAGAAAGACATTTGGCTAATTGATTTTACGGCATCTCAACCGTGCTGATTTAATGGAACATCCAATAATCAATCTCACTACAAACAGGTCAACCAGGTGAGCCGTACTAAACTCTCTCCCTACGTCTAGAGTACATATTGCAATTAAGAGGAAGAGAAAAAGTACATTAAAAGAAAATTACAAGGAAACCAAAAGTGCCACATTTCAAGACATCCATAGAAAATAAATTAATTTTTAGAATAAATAACCGAAGAATAATCTTATAAATAAAACATTATGGCCTGTAACCCCTTGTCAAGGTCCTTGATAAAATCCAAAGACGGATATGCAATGTAATTGGCCCTGGTCTGGCATCTCGTCTGCAATCGCTATCTCACAGACATGCCGTCGCCTCCCTCTGTTTTTATTACAAATACTTTCATGGTAACTGCTCCGATGAGCTGCTTTCGCTGGTTCCCAGACTTCATGAATTTAAGCGTTCAACTAGGCTGGCATCTCGCTCTCACGCTTTCACTGTCGAAACTGTTAAATGTAGCCGTCTCTTCTACTCCAATAGCTTCATGTCTCGCACTTCTCGCCTGTGGAACTCCCTCCCCATTTCTTGTTTCCCTGATAGCTATAATCTCCAACTATTCAAATTGTGACGTCGTCCCCCGGTCGCAGCGCCAACTGTGACGTTCTATCCTGATCTACCACGGCGCCAGTTGTGACGTGGCCGTTCCAGGGTCCTATCCCGGTCACGACACCAGTTGTGACGTCCCTAAACAGCACCAATTGTGACGTCTTCGCCGCGGCGCTAGCTGTTCGCTCCTCGCTGCTCCGTCCGGGTGTCGCTGCTCCAAACGTGACGTCCGCCTGTCGCGTCAGTCGTGTTGTCTCGTCCTGTGACGACCAACTGGCTTTGGTATCGGTCGCAGCACCCAAATGTGACGTTCTAACTTTTGGTGATTCGGGTGGGAATCTGGTTAAGATTTGATATCAGCCTCGCCGTTCCCAACTCGCTTCCAACGCCTGGTTACCAAGGTAACTGCACTGATCTCCAGTCTGCCTACCCACGTTGTGAATTGATCTTAGACAGACGAGATCAAACAGTGGTTGGAGCCGTAATGCAAATTGAGTTCAACGGAGGTGATAACACACAAATATGCATAAAAGAAAAGAAAATGAAAACTCAAAAAAAAGTTCAAAGTATCAAAGAAAAAGGTAACAAACTTTATGTCTAGTTGTTCGATACATAGGACTGTATCTATCTCCCGACCCGTTCTGTGGATTGTGACACGTCGTTTTCGCTAGGCAAGTTTTAACGCTTCAAGTTGTTTGCTCTCTAAGAAATCTGTGTTTCGGTGTGTCTTTGGACGAAAGTCGAAAAACTTATTTCGGTGGTCTGGTTCTAAGTCGCTCTTCAAAATAATTGTTCTTGTTTGAAGAGGAGTCCGAAATTTTGCGTGAATCTAGGTCAGCTATCTTGGTCTATCATCTCTGCCGCCAGGGCCCGAACTCTCTGGACACTCATCTCTGCTGCCAGGGTCCGAACTGATTTCTGCCTGTTGGGGCCTGGCTTTTATTGACGCCGACAAAAACCGGGTTGGGTCTGTTGGCGTCGGGGAGTTCCTCGATAATTCTAAATACATATCCACCTCTTTTATTTCTGGTTAGGGATTTTCCACTCTTTTCCATTTTTGGTAACTTTTTTTCACTCCCACTTTCTCACCATACTTCTGAGGGGCGTGAACTGCCCTCCCCACTAATTCGTAGCAGCTTCTCATACTTATACTCTGGATGGGGGCGTCGACAGCCTTCTTCGTGCGTCACGTGATCACTCTCGGCCAATGAGGTCTTGGTCGGGTATCTCTCCTCCTCCCTCGTGCGTCACGTGATCCCCACTTGACGTCTTAGTCGGGCGTGAACAATCCGCGGCTTTGTTTCGGAAAAAAAATACCTTGCTTAACTAAAAAAAGAAAAATTAATTATCTCTTCTCTTTCCTTTTTCTTCCTTTCAAATCGCCAATATCCTGAACGGATAATATGACAACTCTTTGTTCAACACGTGGCGTTTGTCAAGTAGTTTATCGTTAATTCATCAGATGGTTGGTTTTCCCAACATGGCCTCAAAACGAATTATCTCCAAGTTTTCAGTCAGTCTGACGTCTCCAAGGAAGAAAGAAAAACATTTCTGGTTCTATTCATTTTCCTTCGGTTCATGTGTCTGATAAAATTTTATTATCGCAGGGCAACGTTGTTTTGTTGAAAAGAATTTAGTTAGCGAGACTGCTTGTGTGGGATTTCAATTTTCCATATCTAACTAAGGCTCTGTAGCTACACCTGTGTTTTCAATTATCAAAATTAACGTTTTCAAGTGGACTTTCTTTGGCGAACATTTCTTGATAACACAATTCCATTCGCGCAGGCCAAGTAGGAAAATCGGTCAACGATTACTCGTAGGTGGCCTTTAATTTTCATATCTGTCCAAAGTCTTTTTAGTCGCCTGTTTCTTTTCGTTCCTTATCGAAATAACATTTTCACTTGAATTTTTCCCTTGGCCGATGCCTTCCCGTACCAATAGTTTGTTTTCATATCCTTAGATAACACTTCCCTACCCACTCAAATCTCATTGTCATTGTAATGACATTCTTTTGCCATTTGCCACTTATCAAAATAACCCTTTTTTTTTTATTGCCTCGTAGCCGTGTGTGTGTGTTCGCTTATCACTTATGATTCGGATCTCGCCTCACTTTTTCCCTTCCTTTCTTCTTTTCTTTCTTTTCCCTTTCTGCCTTTCTTTCTCTGCCTGGATGCATGGTGCCACAAAATGTAATGTCAATCGACGTCTCCAGATGACCTGATATATCCCCTACCGTCTCTTCATCCTTTTCTCTGTCACTCATCTTTGTTCTCGGTCCTACTCTGAAACCCTTTGCGTGCTAGTAGCTTCCCGCCTTGCTTGGGGTTGAATGCTTAAAAAAAAAAATAATGAAATCTGTGAGAAGTGGAAAAAAGTTTTCGTATGACGTGTTTCGTCATTTTATACTTCATCGGTCTAAAGCAATGCTACTTATAGTCGTGGTCAGCGGACCGGTGCCGGCACCCGTACCATCAGCTACCAGTACGCGGTCAGTCTCAAGGCCATGCTAGGAATCGTTTGAAAAGATTAAGGTTATATAATTTATGTTTTTGTGTTAATAAACTGCTTTTTTTTAATACTTTTTATATGTTTTGATATTGATTTTTTTTTTTTGCAAAATAAATAGAAGATAAAAAATAGTTACCTTTTATTATATTCATTATAGATATCGTTTCTGGTATAAATTAATATGATCACGAAATATTACACGCACGTGACACATTGAGAAAAAATCCCCCATCCGCCATATCAGATATTATTGCAGTTAATAAATAATCTAAACTACCCTCTTTTAACGATCATATATTGTTATCTTAGAACCTGCTTAATAATACAAACGATATAATCACCACATGGTAACGGTAGAAAGGACATTCATAGAAGCGGGTCGTTAATATCTGCTTCAGTGAGTGTGAAAGAAGATAAGAAAAAGAAAAAAACGTTAGTAAAGAGAGAGAGAGATCAAAGAAAGAACAGAGACTAAGAAGGCAGAAGATAAGATTTAACATTGCATTTAAATCTTTGAAGATCAAAGTTGACACGAAAGTCAGAAGCCGACAGGAAGTTCCACGAGTGAAAATCCAAGGGAAGGAACTCTTTGCATAAACGTCAGCTCGAGACGGCAAAAAGATGCAAGTAGAGAAAATTAACTTTCATTAGAAAAAAAAGAAAAAGAGAAGACATGAAGAAACAGAGACGTGGGCCTACAGAAGGATACTGAGAAAACCATGAAGGGATTATATGAACAACGACGAAGTTTTAAAGAAAATGCAAACAAATAGAAAACTAGAACTTAGAATCTAAAAGAGAAATCTCTCTATATTTCCGAGGACAGATGGCACAGTGAATAAAGGCGTTGGTTAGATCCAGTGACAGGACCCAAAGAGTGTGATTTCAATACCTGGTTAAGGCGGTGGAGAACTTGTAGAGGGGAATTAACAGGAGATAACTGATAACTGACATCCATTAGACATGGCACATGCAACTAGAACAATCTACCCCAGTGAGCGAAATAAAGGGTTCAGTTCGATATTCCAACCACCTGAAGAAGGCAGGAGCGTATAACGGCCGAAACGTTGTAATAAATATGGTGACAAAGATGAAGACAATAGCCCGAATAATTTAAATAGTGTCTAAAAGAGAAAGTTGAAATTTCCTGGATACAGTGTGAATGATTCTACAGCTTATCGAATAAGTAATTTAAAGCCAGAAAATATTTTTGGATTGTAAGAATTTTTTGAGATAATAATGGGTTAGTCATAGAAGCCTTACTCATTCATCCATAGCTGGTGGATTCATTCTTTTTTTTCCAACTCTTTTTACGCGTAGGAGAATATAACGAAAAGGAGGCAGTGTGGAGTAATGGACAGCGGCTCGGATTGAGGAATCGGAGAGCCGAGTTCGAATTTCTGTCGAATTCATTACGTTTACTTACGTGCTAATACCCTTGGATGTATGAATCCTTCTCTCTCCCCCCATATAAGGATAAATAACAGGACAGGCTTGGTTCTTATAGCCATTAATGAAAGTCGATTTTTCACTCGGAATTCACAAACCGGAATGTGGAGGAGTGCGCTCCCTCGGGCTATCTTGGCCAAGAAACACCACTTCTACTTTGCTTTAGAGGGAAACAGAAACAAAATGCCGCTTGAATTTCTAATAAAAGCCAGTTGGATTTTCGGGCATAAAAATTGAGGAAAGATGACTTGGCGAATTTGACTCACACGGTACATATTAAAAGCGAGAAAGGTTTGGAAGAAACAGCGATACATATGGTGCCCCTACGGCCGTCAGGCTATCTTGCACAAGAAAAACCACTTTTACTATGGCAGCCGTACATGTACAGCCCCTACGATCCTCATGGGTCACGGGATTCGCGATCGCAAATATAACGAAGCCAACGAATATTAGAGCCTGACTCTCTCGTTAAAAATTCCAAGCCATTATCCATTACACCATTATCATATCCAAGCTTACAGTACCTGGTATTCCGAAGCGGTCACCAATGTAGGTACTGACCAGGCTCGACGTTGCTTAACTTCGAAGGTAAGAGAGAAACGTTAAGTAACCTATCAAACAACCTTTGGGAAATAGGTGCCGGCTGTTTCACTACCGTCTACTTCACGACACCACATATTAAACTATTTCTACTTTATCGCTATTTCTATGGCAAATGTTTAAATGCGATCTAGTCTTCCGTTCCACGAGTTCAGACATTTACATCTTGGAGGCATCATGTTACTTCCACCGACCCGAATCAAACTCATTTCCCCTGTATTTTCAATGTAAGCAGAAAGTTTCAAAAGAACTGTTACTTTGTGGAAAAGACTTTCGTCTGGATGATTCTTTGAACAGTTTGGATCTCTTCTAATCCAGGATCAGTCGATATCCATACTTCATATCCTTGTAATCTTCATACCACCTCCTCTTTCATTTATATCACACACACACATCATTCATCATTATATTTTAACAGTAAATCTCTACCTTTACAGGCTCTCGAAATTGATAAGCATTTGTATAAAAATGGTCGAGAATAGGGGACAATTTTCATCACAGATTAACAGTACTTGCATTATTTATATATATTCGGACAAGACTGTTCTAGTTCCACGTGCCATACCTCTTCCTATTTTCTCTTTAACGCAACTCTCTAAGTTTTGGTTCTCCACTGCTATGGCTTGGTATTGAACTCGCAACTCTCTTAGGTCTAGCCATTGTATCTAACTAATAAGAGTTGTGAGTTGAATACCAAACCTCTGCAGTTAAAGGAGAATAACTGAAGCATTGTGATGAGGCATGGCACGTGGAGCTAGAACAGTTTACTCCGATGGACGAAATAAAGGGCTCGATTCGAAATTCCAATCACCTGAAGAATGCCGGAGCGTACAATGGCCGAAACGTTGTGAATATGGCAATGACGATAACAGCCCGAATAATAAAAATAATGCAAGTAATCATAATACCTCATCTCAGAGATATAGACAGAGATGAAGAGGGGGTTGAGGTAACAGAGGCGTGCTTCTACAGAAAGATGCTGAGAATTCTATGAATGGAACATATGAGCAACGAGGAATCTTAAAGGAAAACACAAACAGAATGGTGCTTGCATTTCGAATAAGAGACAGAATTTTGGCGACAAAACCTGAGGAAAGATGACTTGGCGAATTTGACACTCACGGGACTTATTAAAGGCGAGAACGGCCAGAAGGAAACAACAAGTTAACAACCTCAAGAGTCTGTGCAAATGGATCGAGATACAGCAAAGAGACAGTATTTGGTTAGAGGTACAAAGGATAGGAAATTGTGGAGAGCCATGATCATCTACATCTTGAAAAGACAGAGAACATACAAGTAGAAATGTCTACATGCCTCTAAGTGTGGGTGAGCTCACTTTGGCCGATGTCTTCGATATCTGTTTTCAGTATTGTTTATTTTGATTAATGTCACTAATTTACCCCTAGCCGCCATTGACACTTTATGCATAGATATTTCAATAAATATATAACGGAATACATATAGTCATAGTCATTTATTCGCTTTCGACAACCAGCAGTCGAAATAATTAGGAATTAATATTTCTTAATCATATTAAATACGGTTGCCGAAATTAATTAATCAAATATCAGATAATAATTGATAATTTTCTTTCTTTAAATACATTTTAGAGATGTTTTTTATATTTAAAATTCTTGTAATTTTGACACAGGCGTAATTACAGGTGTTGTTAAAGGAATAATAACAATTTCAGATGGGAAAAACGAAATTAAAAATAGGAAAAAAAAACAGACATAAATTATTCATTGTATATATGGTGTCCATTCAAGGTGTGGGTGATTAAAAAAAATCATTTAAGTAAAAATCGACGCACAACCCAGATGACTAAAAAATAAAGTCGTGTGTTTTGTCGCAAAAACATATATATATACAACAAGTGGCTGTTGGGAGTTATTTTTTTTATCATTTAATCATCTATAAATTGGCTGCCAACCAAGGCTTGAGGGCCAACTGTGAGCTGCAATTTAATCCAAAGTTGGATGGGGAGGAGAATTGGATCCATAATTTCACCTTTCTTGGTACATCTTCTGTTCCCACAATGTGATAAAATTAAAAACGAACTCTGGAGAATACTCATTATCTATCTATCTATCTGTTTTGATGCCAACGAATACTCGTTGTTACTTTCGTAATGCTCGTTGTAGTAGAGACTTTGTAATCGCAGATACAACTATAATACGCCGTTGAACAATACTTGTGTTAGACGCCTTCGAATATCACTTGAACTGATAGTACTTGTTCGATGATACGCGCTCAAAAAGTAACCACCGAATAGTGATCCGAATAGTGGAATAGTATAGTAAATAGAGCAGAGAATAGTGGTCCGTATAGTAATAGAGGATAGAGCAGAAATGGTGATCCGAATAGTAATAGAGGATAGACTAGAAATAACGATCATTAGTCGTCAGTAACTTCTTACATATATGCGTTTCCTCTATAGTGACTCAGCGTTTTCAAAAATTGAAACACAAAAAAGCAAAATAAAACGAAACATAAACATACACAACTAAAAATTATGACTAAAAACTAATTTACATACACATGGTGTCCAAATGAAACCCATGACTACATTCAAAATTTGGAAGTCAATTTTTAGTCGACAACCAAAAGATATTGTTAAGCAGGCAACGATGCTCACCGCGGCCGAAACAAACACAGCCGATCTCTGCCACCAAATAAGACGGCTCCGCGGTAGAGTGACGCGGTTCCTCCCTCGCACCTTCACCTGGCCGAGCCTCGTCGCTGACCACTGAAGAAGCCAAACCCAGCAGCAGCTGCCGTCTCCACCAGTGAAGCCAGCCGCTCCCAGTCTTGTTGCCGAACTCAGCAGAAGAGCAAGCCAACCTCAGCATCAGCAGCCAAAGATTATGCGATAGTCCTTTTAAGGACTACCAAGCCACATTTATATGCGATAGTCCTTTTAAGGACTACTAAACCGCATTCGTATGCAACCGCCCTCTTAAGGACGAACAAGTTACCTCAGCACTTATTACTACGGTCGTCTCTCTGCGTGAACAGCGACGCGGTCCTCTTACGGGTGAACCTCCGAGGATCAATCTGGGCCTCGGACACAGCATCTTCCATCTGCCTGGTTCTGAGCTGCCTCCCTCAATCAAAACAAACGATCTTTCGACTAGCACTCACGTCTGAACAACTCCAAATTTCCTGTACATACTTTTGCCAAATTATTAAATAAAACCCCTTGCGTGCTAATGACTTCCCGCCTTGCTTGGGGTAAAACGCTTTAAAAAATATGACGGAAAGATAAAATTAATTTTTATTCATTTTTTCCAGCATTCTTTTATTATTATTATGTTTTTTTTTTTCGTTTGGTGGCAGTATAAATGTTTTCCCTATTGTCCAATGTCTTATTCGGCCACATCCTTAGCCATTTTCAAGGGATTTGTTTGCCTGCCTTTTCTCTTATTTTATCCATCACTGGAGACGATGAGAAATACATTCCCCAATTGTATTTGCGCGTAACTGATAGAACTAAAGCATTTTTTAAAACTTTTTTCGTCAAATATGACGGAAAGAAAAATTTTAATTTTTTAAGTTTTTCCAACATTCTTCCAATTTTTATTTTGGGGGTAGTTATATTTTTTTTTCACAGTTTTTTCCAATGTCTTTTCGGCCACATCCTTAACCATTTTCGAGGGGTCTCTTTTAGATGTTGTTAATCTCCCTTCATTTTTTGACTGCCTAAAATTTATTTTATTTGTGTATTGTTTTGAATACAAGCAGGAGCATTTATTCCAAACTTTCGTGCTGGAGTGGGAATGGATTCACTCGAATTCCAGCCGCGCTCAACACGCGAAGGGTCGGAATAAACGCTCCTGCAAATGCAAAACGACATACAAATAAAATACATTTTAAACAATTCTTGCTATTCAAATTGAAACTTATAGATTTAACATTATAAATTGTAATTTAAATGAACTCCAGAAAATTTATGCGAAAATTCACAAATAACTTTTATGCAGTTGTTTTACCCTACCAAAGGAGATGTTGGCAGTCTGTTTCTGGCAGGGATAAGTTTGATGCCAGGATTCAACTAGAATTGCCTCACGAAATTTCAACAATGAGACATTACAAGTATCTTGGATCTATACAAGACCCAGTGGCGTATGAAGAAATTAAAAAGTCCGTCAATATACAAGATAACTTGATTAAATCATGAGCATAGCGATGAGGTACATAGAACTGCCACAAAACCAGCAAAGAAACTGAAACAATGAGCAAAAAACATAGGTCAGAAGCCAATAAAAGAAAGTTAGAGACGAAATACTCTACATTATGCAGTTCCTTCTCAGAAGCAAAAATGCCGATTTGGCTCAATTCGCAACCTATCAATGGCTAAGGTTTTCAAAACTTGAAGTTGGGACTGAAGAGGTATTTCTTGCTGCACTAGACCAGAGCCTGCTTACACGCAACTACCAAGTTAATATATTGCATAGTATTATAGTTCGGACGTAAAATGTAGGTTCTGTAACTAATACATTGAAAATATTGATCATCTTAACACAGGATGTCAAGTATTATCACTCTATGAGTACCAAATCCTTCACGGCATCGTAGATCAATATCTGCATGGGAATATTTAATCACTACCTTATAAAAACAGCTGCAAATTTATATAAACATCATCCTAAATATGGGATTTTCAATCAGTACAGATCCAACAATACAAGCAAATCACATCGGCGTTAATATCATAGCCCGAAAAGATAAAGTCTGCAGACTTATGGCGTGTTAAGTTATAAAAAATATCTGTAGACATTATAGAAAAACGAATCAAATAAAAATGTTCTGCTTAAAACTAAACCTGTTCCAGTTGTGGCTGGAGTTTTGGGTCTGCTTAAGAAGGAAACTCAACAAGAAAATCCCTGATGCTCCATCTCTCTAGATAGTCCAAAAAATAGTTTTAGCAAGGACAGTTCATATCTTACAAAAAGCTTTATCCATTTAAGATTTTAATAATAGCCGTTTTTGTTTAATTAAATGAACGAATATCTGTTTATATCTCTGAGTTATTATGATTACTTGCATTATTTACATTATTCGGACTGTTACCCTTCTCTTCATTGCCATATTCACGACGTTTCGGCCGTTGCATGCTCTAGCCTTCTTCAGTTGTTTGGATCTCTGAGATGAAACAGTATGATTTCTTGCATTATTTACATTATTCGGACTGTTATCCTCATCTTCATTGTCATATTCACAAACTTTCGGCACTGGTAAAACACGATTGCTGAGACATTAGGTTTATATCTCCCAGAAATTCATGAACAGGTGTCCTCAAGGACACATGGCCCAGTGGATAAAGACGTTGGTTATATCCACTGACTGGATCCAAAGGGTTGTGTGTTCAATGCCAACCAAATACTTGGAGAATTGAGTTAAAGGAAAGAGGTATGGCACATGAAGGTAGAACAATCTACCACGGTGGACGAAATTAATGGTTCGGTTCGAAATTCCAATCACCTGAAGAAGGCTGGAGCGTACAACTGCCGAAACGTTATAAATATGGCAATGAAGATGAGGATAGCAATCCGAATAATGTAAATAATCCTAATACCCCATCTCAGAATTATAGACAGATATAAATTTGATTGTTCAGTTAAGTCCCCACCCCTGAGGAGTGGAGATAATCTGCATGAACATCAGAGCAGGGATAAGACAAGTGGACAATTAATTTTATTTATTAATTATTGGAATCTAATAGTTGAATGATGGCAACATCTGTACAGTTAGGATTAAAATTAGTTCTTTGCAGATGTAATTTGATTGGTTTTTTTTTTTGGTTTTTTTGCCGCTTATCAAACCTTTGTGGGTTGTTAAAACCTAAGTGACTGGGTGTTATCCACCATCTGATTATAATACAGGTTAAATATATATCTGTGTTATAGAGGAACACACCTATTCTGTTGTTCATAGACTCTCCCACCTATAATAAGTAGGAGTAGCAGCAGTCACTGAGTCGCTTAATAAGTTGGTCTCAGTTCTGTCTGAAGTTGGACGACCGGCTGACCAGTTGAACTCTCTGCCTTCGGGCGGGGAGGAACCCGAACGAGGCTACGCCGAAGGGTGGAGTCTATTTCGGGGAGTTAAACCGACCCTGAACCCGTTTATACGGGTTTTAAAAGGGCATATTTTTGGCCGAGTCCACGGGCTCGGAGATCTCACGTTAAACCGGCCTTGTGCCACATGATGCCCCCGTGGGTGGGGGTGACTAAATACTCTCAGTTGTTGGTCAGTCAGACGATGTCGGACGACCGTTAGTCGGATACTAAAAGTATCAGCGACCACCACTAGATTTCTCTGCATCATTAACTATTATATCAAGTTCCGAACGGTTTTGTACGTCGAACATATTTTAGGGCCGACTTAGTGAAATACACGACTCCAATGTGAAACTACTCTACAACAATTATGTAGTCATAATCAGTAAAGAGCATAGACCCAACAATTATTTTTAAAGATAAGGAATATAGCATATGTCACATGATTGACTTTGATGTTCGATATGATACAAGCGGGGCCGCCAAAAAAATGAAAAGACTGAGAAATACCAGGATCTCTCTAGGGAGTAGAAATTGCTGTGGGACATGAATGTAGAAGTAGTTGCTGTAGTAATGGGAGCGCTTGAAACACTACTTAGCAAAATAAAAATGCACTTAGGGAAAATTGGAATTGAGACCAAGACTCTAGACCCCAAAAAAACTGTGAGGCTTCTCCGAAGATTTTTGAGTTGTTAGGAGTCTAGATGACTCTGTGACTTCTGCACCAACTCTAGACTGTTCTTGAGACATGTCAGGACAGAAGCACTCGCAAAGATTTTTTTTAATCATTTTACACCAAGCAAAATTCTTGGGCGATTGCTTTCCGCTGACAGGAAAGGCAAAGTTTATATAACACTAGCAGCATGCCCTGGCGTTGCCCGTGCTTGATTCAAAAATTGTACGACTCATACAGCAATCGCTATCACTTGACTTAAAATATTTTTGCCCTTCCTTGCCTTTAAAGGAGTGCCCTTTGCCGTGCTGATGTTGGTACATGCCTTACACTGTGAATTTTTCTAAGCTCTATACTAAACCTTAAATCTGTTACGAAAAAAGAACTAAACAAAATGAACACAAAACGATCAGCTTTAAAAAAGGACTCGTAACTGGAAAAACCGAATAAAAAAAGAATGTTAACAACAAATACTTTTTTCAAACCCAACCCAGTTCTGCGGAATCAGAATCATCGTCGAGTTTAAGCAAGCGAATGAGCCAATTGGAGTAAAGTGCTATGCAGATTTAAATTTTTCCCACTTGTGACGAATAGAGCTATCGAATTTTTTTTGCATGCTAGTTAACATTCGTGTTAGTTAGCTGTTAGCTCGCACGCTGGCCAATAGAATCTTCCTGTCTATTCGTGGTAGCCAGCTATTGGCTCTCACTCTAGCCAATAGAAAATGGCCGTAAACTACATTGAAACATGCCGTAGAAGCATGAAAAAATCGATTATTTTCACTATCGATGGGAGTTGGGGTGTTGGCCTTCCCACTAACTTGGAGCATGTGCATGTAAATTTTGGTGCAAATCCGTCGAAAATTGCAACCGTGCATTCGTTACACACGCACACACATATCCTCCCTTTTATAGATAGAGATCAATTACAACATCTGATTCCAGAAAAGATGGTTCCGTGTCATGCGAGATAATTCTTCTCACCAGAATCTGTCTTACAGATAAATTGATGTACCATTGTTCCAGGCTTCGAATATTGCTGTCAAATCTGGTCTGATGCTTCTATTTAGAGATTCTTGATAAAACCCAAAGAAGGGTCTGCAATGTTTCGGGTCATGACATCTCGGTTTCAGTCACTTTCACACCAGCTGTTATGTAGCTTCCCTCTGCCTTTTCTCTAAATACTTTCATGGTAATTGTTCTGATGCAATTTTCTCCATGGTACGTAGAATTTATGAATTTAAGCGCAGTCGTAGATTGGCGGATAGGTCTCATCATTTTACCGTTGAAATATCTAGATGTAACCATAAGTTATTTTCCAAGAGTTTCTTTTCTCGCACTTCTCGCTGG